TTTTAGGTGTGAAAAATTCAGAAAAAACAAAACCGTAGTACTTGACAACACATTGTGTATCATCAAACTGGTACCTCGCTTTACTGCCATGACTTTAACAATGGCAATAAGATTTCTCGTCAGAAGTCACATAAAAGTAGTAAAACATGTTACGAGTTCATATTTCTTTACTGTAAAGTTTGTATTCTTCTCAAATGGTTGTATTTCAGAATTTTATGTAACGTTTGGCATCCCTCCAGTGCTATCTGCATTATTATCACACATGGTTACACGTGGTGTCCATCCCAATACTTAAACAAACAAATTTGAGTACACATTTTCGTACTATCTCAAATTACATATCAATCTAATAACGCACCATGTACACAATTGTTTTCATATGTGAATACAAAAATATCTTGGTAATAGAAATAACATAATTATTATTCTATGAGATTATTGAATCGAGCTAAATAATGTAACTGAAAATCGATAGGCTCCGAATATTACATACATCTTATCGTAATATTATTTTTACTTCTTCTAGAAGTTAAAATAAACTCGTCTTAGAAAACTTCGAACAATTAATTTTAAAATAAACCATTTTAACGAAGAAGTATTTCAAATAGGAATAAAAGTATGAAACGGAAAATATATTTTTTCTTATAATTTTAATTTATTTTTTTAGTTTAATTATAATCAACAATAAGTATTTGGTATTAGTTTAACAATTTGGATAAAATATATTTTCCAGAGTAAGTATAAAACACAGGAAACCTTTCTTTTATTTACTACTTAGCTGTTTGCAAACTCAAGGCAAAAGAGGCACGAAAACGTATAATTTTGTTTGTTGGTCATATTCAAATTATAGATGAACATTTTCTTGGATTTAATTTAATATTACTTTGATAAAAGTTGAAACACTTATTCTGTTTTCCTATAAATTCTTGTCCCATATTCTACTTTTTTACACCCACTTGCAGATTATTTGGGGACACTTAAAGAATGTTAATTCTAAACATATTACCTACATTTCCTAGTGGTCTTGTTTTGCTTTATAAGAACATATCCCCTTTCTGTTTAAGAAGGACTAGTATGACTTAACATATTTTTAAGATGGGACTAATAGGGTCTAGTAAAGTAATTTATTGTTTGATGAAGGCTTGCTATACTAGTAGACTTTTCTTTTTAAAAACCCGTGTGACGAACTATATTCTTCGTCATATTATTGCACCTTTATTTGAAAATAAAACCATTTTGCAAAACTAAAAAAGTTTTAATTTAAAGATAACCTGTAAAAATAACTTCTAACTAGTTTTCGATTTAATTTGCTAATGAATACAAGCAGTAGTTCAGTAAGTGATTCAATTTATTCGTCTATTACGACTATGCTAGTGTACATTTTACTATCGATATGTCGAACTATTTACAATAGGGTAAGCTACAGGCGACAAAACAAACGATACATATTTTCAATACATGCGATTGTTTACAATCAAAATTTAAAACTGAGTTAACAACAGCTGATTTCTACTCCCTAGGAGCTAAAAACGCCCTTTACTCCCTAGAGAGTAAAAATGCTACCTTAGACCCCCATCGCATGCTTTTTACTTTAAATTATTTATATCAATTATTTATATGTAAGAGTGCTTTTAATAATTACACCGGTGGATTGTAATACGAATAAACCTAATTAATGGTTTGTCGCTTCGATTTAAATATCGTTAAAAAATATGACCAGGAAAATGTATTATATTTAGGTGTTGATTTCCTTCTCTTTTATCCTGGTTTGCACTGCATCTACTGCAAATTGACCAAACCCCTGTTTTATTGATTCATTGGCTAGGTAAAATCAATAAATAAATACACCACCTTCTTTTTATGGCTAAACCTGAAACACTTATTCGTCATTTTATTAATAGTCTTTTTAACGAAAGTTTGATTTTTTTAAACATAACGACTTGTCAAATACTTTATTGAAAGTATTTATCATTCGAGATGAACTCGTTATCCTTTTTACAACAGCCATGCAAATAAAAAACGCAACGAGCTTAAACATTGAATTCGCTTAATTTATTCTGAAATTAAATTAAATTAGCATACAAAGGTATTCTCTGGGCCAATTTCGGTCGAGATGCCTGAATCCCAGCTAATCACAGCCCCCTGCTTCTACAGTTTATCTCAAATTGTCAGAATAGTTTACTAAAACTAGTCACATAGCAAAACTCGAACCCCATGCCTAAATTACAGAACTGCTTTAACGATATTTTTTTTTGCTCGAATCAAATAATTTAACAAAAACATTCAGATAGCAAAGCTTGGCCCCCATATGTAAATCACAGCACTGTTGTTTTGCTCGAATCGAATCATTTACACAAACGTTCACAGAGCAAAGCTCGGCCCCCGACGCCTAAATCTCGGCTAATCAAGGCACATGAGTCTCCCGTGGCCCCATCAGTGTACTACTACAGAGTAGAGTCCCCGGGGGCTCGTCTCGGGTAATTGACCACCTTGGGAAATGAAGTTCATCACGTTAACTGGACCATCGTGAGCCAAACAGCCTCCCACCCCTCCCCACCCCTCCTTCCCTTCATAGCTGGCCTCTGCCAAAACACACTACCCCTCGTCGAGACGGGCCAACACAGTGCTTATATTACAGTATGGGATGATAAACTACGCCTTCGGTTGGGTTTCAAAATCAACCCTTGGAATATTGCCGATACAACGTTTAGTATGTGCGTGTGGCCAATAAAATTAAAATAATCCGAAACACTACCATCTGTACACAGGGGCCTTCAAATGTAACATGGACGACACTTGCCTACCTCGTAAAGTAATAAACAACGAATTGTTCCTGTGGTTTTTGCAGTAAAAATACAACGTATATTAAGACTTCTTGCTGATCGCTGTAATTGCTTATTTCTAGTCAAGTTTTGACACTACAAGAAAGTAGACAGTTTTATTTACCAAAAAGAGTACTAGAACTAACCAAAGTAATAACAGTATGATAGTTAAGTTGGAGTTTAAGAAGTTATAAGAGCGATACATTAGAGAGTTTTCGTTCACGTAAGTTCACAAAAGGATAAAGTAGGTTTGCACCATGTAGCTCGAAATTGTCGAAGTTGGGGACCGGCACTGCCCCCGCAATGCCATGTGGCGCTAATACAAATGCGCATTTCAAATTTCCAACAAATACCCTTTTCTTATGAGGTGCACTATAAAGTCTTAATCTAAACGCCAAGGTTCATATTTTTAATGATTACATTTTACTTTACAGTAGTAATTGTGTTACAGGATGAGGGACTGGTGACCGGGCGACATGGATGAGATGCTAAATGTTACCTCAAGCCAGATACCCCCGGAGCCCAGGACTCACTACACTGGCACATATATCTTACACTCGTATCATGTTACAGGATTAGGGACTGGTGACCGGGCGACATGGATGAGGTGCTAAATGTTACCTCAAGCCAGATACCCCCGGAGCCCAGGACTCACTACACTGGCACATATATCTTACACTCGTATCATGTTACAGGATGAGGTACTGGTGACCGGGCGACATGGATGAGGTGCTAAATGTTACCTCAAGCCAGACACCCCCGGAGCCCAGGACTCACTTCACTGTCACATATATCTTACACTTGTATCATGTTACAGGATGAGGGACTGGTGACCGGGCGACATGGATGAGGTGCTAAATGTTACCTCAAGCCAGACACCCCCGGAGCCCAGGACCCACTACACTGGCACATATATCTTACACTCGTATCATGTTACAGGATTAGGGACTGGTGACCGGGCGACATGGATGAGGTGCTAAATGTTACCTCAAGCCAGATACCCCCGGAGCCCAGGACTCACTACACTGGCACATATATCTTACACTCGTATCATGTTACAGGATTAGGGACTGGTGACCGGGCGACATGGATGAGGTGCTAAATGTTACCTCAAGCCAGACACCCCCGGAGCCCAGGACTCACTTCACTGTCACATATATGTTACACTCGTATCATGTTACAGGATGAGGGACTGGTGACCGGGCGACATGGATGAGGTGCTAAATGTTACCTCAAGCCAGATACCCCCGGAGCCCAGGACTCACTACACTGTCACATACATCTTACACTTGTATCACGTTACAGGATGAGGGACTGGTGACCGGGCGACATGGATGAGGTGCTAAATGTTACCTCAAGCCAGATACCCCCGGAGCCCAGGACTCACTACACTGTCACATATATGTTACACTCGTATCATGTTACAGGATGAGGGACTGGTGACCGGGCGACATGGATGAGGTGCTAAATGTTACCTCAAGCCAGATACCCCCGGAGCCCAGGACTCACTACACTGTCACATATATCTTACACTTGTATCATGTTACAGGATGAGGGACTGGTGACCGGGCGACATGGATGAGGTGCTAAATGTTACCTCAAGCCAGATACCCCCGGAGCCCAGGACTCACTACACTGTCACATACATCTTACACTTGTATCACGTTACAGGATGAGGGACTGGTGACCGGGCGACATGGATGAGGTGCTAAATGTTACCTCAAGCCAGATACCCCCGGAGCCCAGGACTCACTACACTGTCACATATATCTCACACTTGTATCATGTTACAGGATGAGAGACTGGTGACCGTTCGACATGGGTGAGGTGCTAAATGTTACCTCAAGCCAGATATCCCCGGAGCCCAGGACTCACTGCACTGTCACATATATCTTATACTTGTATCATGTTACAGGATGGACTGGTGACCGGGCGACATGGATGAGGTGCTAAATGTTACCTCAAGCCAGACACCCCCGGAGCCCAGGACTCACTACACTGTCACATATATCTTACACTTGTATCATGTTACAGGATGAGGGACTGGTGACCGGGCGACATGGATGAGGTGCTAAATGTTACCTCAAGCCAGACACCCCCGGAGCCCAGGACTCACTACACTGTCACATATATCTTACACTTGTATCATGTTACAGGATGAGGGACTGGTGACCGGGCGACATGGATGAGGTGCTAAATGTTACCTCAAGCCAGACACCCCCGGAGCCCAGGACTCACTACACTGTCACCCAGATAATCTTCATCGCCATCACCGCTAGCTTCCTCTCCATCATCACCGTCGTCGGCAACTCCATGGTGATGATATCCTTCAAGATCGACAAGCAGCTCCAGACCATTAGTAACTACTTCCTTTTCAGGTAATTTACTTCATAGTTCCAAAGTGTCAAATCATCATTAAGTTTAAAATCAATTACTGTATTTCAAACAGTCTACAAGACCTATGCTTCTCTAAATTCATGAGGTAGGCCTAACTGTTAAGTTTTTGACACCGATCTATAAACCGTGCTGATCAGTAGGTGTCGTTAATATTAAAGCCTAGTTCATTGATGATACGGTTAGAAACAGGCCTGGTTCACTGACATAATTAATGTTCTTAGCACATTCTGTTATGGACTAAGCAGTCTGTTTGGTGGTGTTGAAATTAGTCCATAACAAACAATCAGGGAAACCCCTTAGAATCCAAAAGTAAATAACATAACTTATTTTCCCCCAATAGTACCTATCTCTTTCAAAATTGTTTTTCAAATTAACTTCTACAAAATTAGCTTAACTCTGGAACCTTGATCAAACTTTTCTATTCATTTTCTGCTCCTTTGTCAGCCTGGCCGTGGCGGACTTCGCTATCGGGCTGATATCGATGCCGCTGTTCACGGTGTCAACTCTGCTGGGGTATTGGCCTCTGGGACCCCACGTCTGCGACACGTGGCTCGCCCTGGACTATCTGGCCAGCAACGCTAGCGTGCTCAATCTGCTCATCATCAGCTTCGACAGATACTTCAGCGTCACGCGGCCGCTCACCTACCGAGCCAAGCGGACCACCAACAAAGCTGCCTTCATGATAGGTCAGTAAACTGATCGAGTGCAAAACGGATTGGAAGGAATGAGGTAACTGATTCTTTTGATGAACCTTGATATTTTTTACCTTGGGAGGCCAAGTCGGCCAGCAAACAAAGCTGCCTTCATGATAGGTTAATGGTAGTGAAACGTGATCAAGTATGTAATGGATGTTACTAGACGGGTGGTGAAGGCTTTCTCTGCATTCTAAAAGAGAGTGCTGAAGCAGAAAAGAACAGGACTGAAAAATATAAGAACTGTATGAGGTAACTGTATCTGATTTAAGTCATTATCCTAGGAAGGCCATGTTGACCAACATACACGTTGCACTGTAGATGCAATCTTTTTGTCCTATTTCGGTCTGCCGATGGAAAAATTCTATAGAAATTCATAATCAGCTGCTGAGAATAGTTATTTGTGTAACTAGTGGTGAACGTGGCACTTTGCTGCACACGAGAGCAATGTTTACGCACGAGCCGCAGGCGAGTGCGGAATGATCTCGAGTGCAGCAAAGGCCTTTTTCACTCGTGTTACACATTATATTTTTCCTACAGTAACTATGAAGCATATAAATAATTAGTCTTTCAAACACTATACAACACGTTTTTAGGTTCAGCTGGCAACACAAATGGTGCCCTAGAGAAAGTAGTACCCGCGGTCCGTATCACTCCGCTATTTTTCCTCGGCAAGAAATGTGCTCCGCGTTTTGAGAATATAGTTCCGTATGTTTTTGTAATTTGAAGTGGTTTCCGCGCCTAAAAAAATGCTTTAAAGGTATTTTCTTGTTTATTAAGATCGTGGAAATGTTTTAAAAACGTTTAAAAGAAAAGTCCAAAAAGTTCAGAAATACCGAAACTATAAACACGAAATGACAGGTTAAATCGTAGTAGTCGGGGGGCAAACTGTATTCCGTGGGATTTTTTGTGAAGCAAATGTGTGACTATGTGGAATCTCTTTATTATATGTCACATAATGGTGTAGTACCGGGTGTTTACCCTCAAATTGCGGGGTTTGGTTTTTATGACGTCGTAAATCCAAGATGGCCGCCATGTGTGACATCTATTCATTAAATTAATAATAACTCTTTTCAGAGTAAAATAATCGAATTTTAATTTACACCATTGAATTCAGCTCAAAAAATCAAACAATTTGGTGTTTTGAATCATTGCTCTATGACCATTGGTTACCGAGATATTGAAGGCGTAAAACACAGAACATTGTCCCCATGTTATCCTTATGGGGAACAAATAAAATTGTATATCTAGCTTATTACTCAGCATATCTTAATAATAATTGGTATGTGGCTTCATTTAGTAGAGATCTACTTGATTATGGCCTAAAATCCCCTATTTTTACATTTCCGTGGCAGCAAACCTGCATACTAACTTCCAATGTTATTCTTATGGACAATTTTTTGCATGCTTGTTCATGAACATACTTTGAGAAATGATGATGTGTGGCTCCATTTTAATTATTTATTGAAGCATTTGTAATTCGTTGAGTATACAGGTCTGCTGCTACGGGTAGGTCTGCTATAAACAAATTATAGGTATTAGAAAATAAAATAAATTAGACTATAGTTATGAGGCATGTGTAATTTTGTAGGATTTTGAATTAAGCAATTGTATGATTGGTGGTGATAGATAGGTAATGACATGTAGAACCGTGTACTACGGAGCATTTTGTCTGAAAGTGTGGCCAAGCTGGTGTTTTCGGTCGCCATCTTGGATTCGCCATATTGGATGTTAATAACCTTTTTATACAATGCTAGTGTTGTGACACATCATTATGAACTAAATTTTCACGCTGATTTCAATGCTGAAATATGTTTTTAAATATATTTTTTCGTTTGGAAGATATATTCAAATAAAAACTCTCTCCCATACATTTCTTACGGACGTTTCGTACTTTGAACATTTTTAAGATTATTTTTCTTATATCTCCAGTTCCTATTAACGCTTGCAGTTCGTTCTAGTCTTAAGATATTCAGTGATGTATGAGCTTTCATTTGAGCTATTGATCTTTAAATTCGGTTGAGTTAGAGCGTTAGAGTCGAGCTACGAACCCTAACACAATATTAGATTTAACTTATTACAAATCTGTTTATTTTATTTTATTTATTTATTTGTTAACGGTTGGACCATTTGTACATGAATAATACAATAATCTTACATACGGAAGAAGCAGAAAAAATCACAGGCCAGTACAAAAGTAGTGAAAAAAAAAACTGGAAAACAAGACTTCAAATACAAGACATAAAAAGATAAATAACAACTATAAATAACAAACTATAAATAACAAACTATGAATAACAAACTATAAGTAACAACTATAAATAACAAACTATCTGAACAAGTTGACAAAACGAGATATTCGAAAAACAAAACCAGTATAGGAACAATAACAATGATGCAATGCAGTAGCCGAGTGAAACTTCAGTAAAGAGGCAGAACAAACTTAATGAAAAACAGATAAAACTTGCAGAAAAATAACAATATGATAAACTCTGTACAAGAACAAGATATAACAATGCAATACCAACAGGATAGACTATATTAACAAAAATAAATAACAATGCAATAAATAGAAAGTTTGGAAATATGCAAAGATTGATGCAGGAGTTCAGCAAAAGAAGAAAAAAAAGTTCTGTTGTTATTAAAAGATGTATATCTCGGGTTATAAGTACGTCACTAAGTTCTTCCTGGTCTCAAATTACTTGGTTAATGTTTGATTTTACATTTTAATTATCACTAAATGTAATCTGACTAAGTTATTTTAAAATGAGCCATGAACCATCATTTAACATTAAATTATTTTTATGTCCAAAACTTTCTTTGGTTAAAGACATACAGGGCTAGTCATCAGTGTTACAATTTTTAGACGTGGAACCTTTTAGTCTTATATGCCTCATCACACATAATTTACTTTGTACTTACACCAAACAAATGTTGTAACCCTGATGACCAGCCCTGTATGTCTTTAATTGCTTTAACCAAAGAAAAATGTCTAAATAAAAATAATTATTAATGTTAAATAAAGGCCCATGACTCATTTTCAATTAGTCCGATTTCATTTAGTGATTAATAACATTTTAAACCAGACATTTACTGAGTAATTTAAGACTAGAATGAACCTTTTGCCGTATTAACAAACCGAGATATAAATCTTTTAATAAAACTGATTTGGAAAAAGTTAAATTTAATATTGTGTTGTGGTTCATAGCTCAACTCTAACTCGTCCGATTTTAATGATCAATAGCTTAAATAAAAGCCCTTACATCACTGAATACTTTAAGACTATAACGAATTGCAAGCGATAATAAGAACTGGATATATGAGAAAAATAATCAAAGTACGAAACGTCCGTAAAAGATGTATGGGGGGGGGGAGTTTTCATTTCAATATATTTTCGAAACGAAAGACGATATTTACAAACGGTTTTCGGAATTGAAATTAGCGTAAACATCTATAGTTTATAATGATGAGTCACAACACCAGCATTACATTTAAAAAAATATATTAATGTCCAATATGGTAGATCCAAGACGGCGGGCCAAAAACACCAGCTTGGCCACACTTTCAGACAAAATGCTCCGTAGTACACGATTCTATATGTCATTACCTATCTATCACCACCAATCATACAATTGCTTAATTCAAAATCCTACAAAATTACATATGCCTCACAACTATAGTCTAATTTATTTTATTTTCTAATACCTATAATTTGTTTATAGCAGACCTACCCGTAGCAGCAGACCTGTATACTCAACGAATTACAAATGCTTCAATAAATAATTAAAATGGAGCCACACATCATCATTTCTCAAAGTATGTTCATGAACAAGCATGCAAAAAATTGTCCATAAGAATAACATTGGAAGTTAGTATGCAGGTTTGCTGCCACGGAAATGTAAAAATAGGGGATTTTAGGCCATAATCAAGTAGATCTCTACTAAATGAAGCCACATACCAATTATTATTAAGATATGCTGAGTAATAAGCTAGATATACAATTTTATTTGTTCCCCATAAGGATAACATGGGGACAATGTTCTGTGTTTTACGCCTTCAATATCTCGGTAACCAATGGTCATAGAGCAATGATTCAAAACACCAAATTGTTTGATTTTTTGAGCTGAATTCAATGGTGTAAATTAAAATTCGATTATTTTACTCTGAAAAGAGTTATTATTAATTTAATGAATAGATGTCACACATGGCGGCCATCTTGGATTTACGACGTCATAAAAACCAAACCCCGCAATTTGAGGGTAAACACCCGGTACTACACCATTATGTGACATATAATAAAGAGATTCCACATAGTCATACATTTGCTTCCCAAAAAATCCCACGGAAGCTGGATATGTGCAGTTTGCTCCTGGACTATAGTTATAATAGTCAATCAGCTGCTGATAGTATTATTATCTTTAAGTGTTGCCAACCTATTTCCAAGCGTACAGGGATTACGTGCATAATAGAACCACGCTGTTTTGTGTTGTTTCGTTGGAATCCTGATGTGCGGCAAAGTATAAACCGTACGGCAAAGTATAAACCGTACGGCAAAGTATAAATATGCAGCAATTAGCAGCTTTCTGTACTATAAACAGTACAAGGAAGCCAACTTTGTCGGGTGACTGTAGGAAAAAATACATTTTAGTTATTTAAATCTAGGCAATGGTATCGTGCAAAACACTTTGCCATTGACGTGGCAAAACATGTGGAATATACCTATTGCATTCGTTGAAGGAATGACCACTAAAGCCTGTTGTCATTCTGATCCGTACACTTGAGGTACAAAGTCAAACTTTATCCTCCTCGACCTGCTCATCACCATGCTTGTCATGTCCAAAATGCCTTGGCCAAAATACCATAACAGGTTCTCTGTAAATTTTAATCAACATCTAAATTATCTTAGAACTAATTCCTTTCTTGCAGGGTGCGCGTGGGGTATCTCGTTGCTACTTTGGCCTCCCTGGATTTACGCCTGGCCCTACATAGAGGGCAAGCGAACCGTCCCCGACGACGAGTGCTACATCCAGTTCATAGAGACCAACCACTACATCACCTTCGGCACGGCCATAGCAGCCTTCTACGTGCCGGTCTCCGTCATGTGCTTCCTCTACTGGAGGATATGGCGGGAGACGGAGAAGCGACAGAAGGACCTGCCCAACCTGCAGGCGGGGAAGAAGGACAGTAGTAAGAGGAGTAACTCCAGGTATGCAGACTCTTGGAAACGTTAACTCTGAAACTTATAGTCTGTATGACGGAACCTGTCGTCTGACCGGGTCTACCTTGGAGAGATACGAGTCTTAAACCATTGGCCAGTTCTCAGGTAGAGAAAGGTTGAGGAGACATATTCCATCATACAGAATATAACAGTTTTGGTAAAAAAAAACCTTAATCATTGCTAAAATACTCCAAAAGAACACTGTATACAGTATAATTCATTTAAAAACTATGGATACTATAGTCTGTATTCTAGGACCTTTCTCCTGACCCTCCATCAGGTTCATAGTTACAATTCAAATATCTTTAAATTAAAACCATTGTTTGCATATTGAGGGCTCTTTTCTAAGCATTGATGCCTTTTCTAATTCAAACCCAACGAAAATACAATTTGCATTTTCACTTTAATCTTAATTAAGTAAGTTGTCAACTCAGATCCCAGTTCAAAAAATGCTTGATAAGCTATCATTTAGGGGAAGATATAAACTTATTTTGTAACTGCTGGTGTACTCAATCCAGGATATAATAATGATGAGACTTAAACACTTCACCGAAAGTGCGTTAAGCTGGTTAAAAAAAAATCATGGACAACAATCTTTAGTGAACCCCTACTAACTGATTCTACTTGGAAAGTTATACCACACAAAGAACGTTTTTAGTTTCAAAATTTACATCTTGTCCAAGTGCTACAGTATATTTCATTTTAATCAAATGGCTAGGCTGAGGATTTATCGAGTAAAACATATATTCTAAGACTAAATTTGCTAAATAAACTCATCCGGAGTCGTATTGGGGAGTTTCCACTGTTTTGCTAGCAGTAAGCATAACAGAGCGAATGTTTGGTAAACAAATGATCGGACAGACGTTCGCTCGAACATTGTTAAAGTCAGCAGTAAATCGAATTGCATCTATGGATAAATACCGGTACATTTAACAACTTTTTCAAACACCTTTAGTTATAAATTTTACAAACTTTTAGTAAATCTAGAAAACTTTTATTTACAATACTTTTTAAAGATTTTGACGGTCAAAAGACGTTTAAATTTGTTGTGAAAAAGGTAAGGGTCAAATAAAATAAAAGTAAATGGTTTTAAAAATGAATACAACGTGTTATGTTCAAACAATTGAGATTTGCTAAGATAATTATGGAAAAATAAACAAAAGTTAATATCCTATCCGGAAATACAACATGAAATACATAAAGAGAAACGACAAAATACCATGTGAAAATAATCAACACTTTTTGTACCAACATTTTTTATTCGACTGATTATCTCGGACATTAAAGCATGTGTAAAAAAAACCCCATAAATCAAATTTAATATTGATGTTTTGACTGAACCAACCGAAAAGGAAAAGTCAATTGTGATATATTCGTCCCAATTTTAAGTTTGCATTGTATTAAAATAGATATCAAACTATTGAATATTTTAATTACCATACAAAATACATGCATTGAAATTCTTGCACGATGTTTGTTAATCAAAACTAACTGATGTGGAAACTCAATCAAATTAAGTTGGTCAAGGCTACATGATGATAAACACATGCATGAGACAAATAATTTAATGTTGTTTGTTTGATAATATTATGAATAACCTAAACCACCTTAAGTGGAATTTTCCAATGCAAAACACACTACTGAAAGGAATACAGTTGAAGGGTTTCAACTTAGGTTTAACTAAATTCTTGTGTGTTTAAGATGTTATTATTCTATTTTTACACTTGCTTTTTGCTAAAACACAGCTTCACTTCCAAGCTTTTCCCTTTGCACTGCATGCTTTTCAGGTTAATGCTACAAAAAGCATATTTTACTTGTCAATATGAGATAAATTTATTTATTTACCGTATCAATGACGTGATATTGAAAATTGGGTTTGATTAATCCGTTTCAACATTGCTCACAATAATTACGATAAAAGCTGAACAATTGAGAATTCTCTCAAAAATTAACAATTTGAATGGATAAAATACTCAACAAGACCCAACATTACATCCTTAAAAAAAGTTGCACATTGATTGTTTTTCAAGTGTAAACGTATACAATCTCTGATTTACTAACGTTATTAATTTTGACCTTATTTGTGCCAAGTTTTATGTTTTAAAAGGGTTCCCAACATGTGATATATTTTCCAATCCCAGTTTGTTTTTTAGTCTCTGACTGAATATGCTAGGAATTTTTTCTCATGCGTTTTTTATGTAAGGGTTTCTTTTCATCTACAGTTTTTGTTCTAAATTGAAAACTAACGCTAACGCTGTCAATTCACGGAGTATTGTATGAGGTGGGTTAGTGTTGCAATTGCAAAACCTCTAGGAATATGTAATGTTTCATAGTGTAAATTTGCTGGGTATTTAGAGGGAATATTTCCAATGGCAAAGTTTTCCCCTTCGACCAAAACACTAGACTAACCTCCCATATTAGTTTGACCGATTTGTATTCGAGTAGGCCATTATTAAGACCTCTTTCAGTCAAAGTGAGAGTTTAACTATTATTTACTAGATACATCTTATATCACACCGGTGGTTGAAAATAAAGTTAGTGCATTTTTTAACCTTATACGAGATCACGTAAACTATTTTCAGTACTTAACCGTACTTTAGGAGTTTGGAGGAGTAACACGTGTTTCCAAACTTCGATAAGTACGTATTTCAAACTCATCACTTAAGCGAACAAAATAGAAAGGAGATGTAGATGAGTTTTATACTGTATCCTAAATTCGATAAAAATACTTATCGAGAATGAACAAATAATACTTAACAATACAAAATTGTTAGGGTTTCTTGATTCTTGTAATTATTGGACATCTTACAAAAATTTGATGAATGCATACCTAGGGGAAGCTTTTGGACACTTTGCCAGGCATTCGGCACATGTATTCAAGACTTGAATGTATAGGAATAATTTTTGGGCTTTCGTGGTGTAAATACAATCCATCGTGGTTGATAAATGAATTATACATTTTGAGCTTTTTACGTAAAATCGGTAACTACAAACTCCGGACACCAAAGTTTGCACCAATGTTGGGAACCCTACCCTCCACGCCTCCCCGCTAGCACCGCTGTATCGTTGCTTGTCTTGTCCTTGCCACGGTGGCTGCAGTAGTGTGGTTAAATGCAGTGACGAGGCGGTCGACCTGGAGGAGTGGCGGAGGGCGAGGGCCGAGTCTGGGGCGAGGACCCTGACAGACGGCGAGCTGGACAGCGCCTTCCTGAGCCACGGCATCGCCTACTCAGACCACTGCAGACAGAGGGTGAGTGCATGTAGCTGTAGTTGTAGGGAGGTAGAGGTGGAGGTAGAGGTAGTGATGGAGGTAGACAAAGAGGTAGAAGTAGTGGTGGAGGTAGAGTTAGTGATGGAGGTAGACAAAGAGGTAGAAGTAGTGGTGGAGGTAGACAAAGGTGGAAGTAGTGGTGGAGGTAGAGATACAGCTAGTGGTAAAGTTAGAGGGTATAGTTGATGGTAGACGAAGAGGTAGAAGTAGTGGTGGAGGTAGACAATGAGGTAAAAGTATTGGTGGAGGTAGAGACAGATAGTGGTAAAGTTAGATGCAGAGGTATAGTCGGTGGAAGACGAAGAGGCAGAAGTAGTGGTAGACGAAGAGGTAGCAGTAGTGGTGGAGGTAGAGATACAGGAATTGGTAAAGTTAGAGGAAGAAGTATAGTTAGAGGTAGACGAAGAGGTAGAAGTATAGCAAGTACAGCAAGGTGGAGTTAGAGATACAGCTAGTGGTAAAGGTAGAGGAAGAAGTATAGTTGGAGGTAGACGAAGAGGTAGAAGTAGTGGTGGAGGTAGACAAAGAGGTAGAGGCATTGGTTATATAGTCAATGGTAGAAGTAGTGGTGGAGGTAGAGATACAGCTAGTGTTAAAGTGAGAGGAAGAGGTATAGTTGGAGGTAGACGAAGAGGTAGAAGTAGTGGTGGAGGTAGAGATACAGGTATTGGTAAAGTTAGAGGATGAAGTATAGTTGGAGGTAGACGAAGATGAACATGCACTTGTTCTGGCACTTAAGGTTTTTAGTGGTGGGAAATATACAGGTATTGGTAAAATTAGAGGAGGAAGTAGAGTTGGAGGGGAGGTAGACGAAGAGGAAGAGGTAGAAGTAGCGGTGGAGGTAGACAAAGAGGTAGAAGTAGTGGTGGAGGTAGACAAAGAGGTAGAAGTAGTGGTGGAGGTAGAGATACAGGTATTGGTATAGAGGAAGAAGTATATTTGGGGGTAGACGAATAGGTATAAATAGAAGATTCCTTAAAGACAAATAGTTTTCTACGTATAATTTGTGAACCCCTAACTTAGCCAAAATCCCACAGGCACATCGGAATTCACAGCTTTTCAAACTCAACTTTTATCTGGGGTAATTTATAACTGCACCACCCAGTTATCTTTTTTATTTAAGTAGAGTAAGTTTTACTTCAGGACAACGGATACAACGTTATGTACTGTCAGGATAAAAAGAACCTTATCGCGGGTGTGGTCAAGTTTATAAGCAGAATGCACCTTGCACTTTATCCATGCCAATGTTTGCTGAATTACTGTATTTATTTGTGTTTATCTACAACATCGAATAATTCTCCACAAGGGAACAACAGAACCCCTGATCTTCGTACTGTAATAGCTATCGTTGATCTTTTCTCATTATTTTATGGTGAAATAGCCTCTGGTGATGTAGTGTTACATTTAAGTTTTAATTTTTAATATTACCTCGCTTCATCAAATAATCCCACTACTACTAGCACCTAAAACTTTATGGTTTCAGACCCCTGGAGCCTACCTTCAAATGTAAAACTAATATCTAGTATCATTCCAAGTTGGAAAGATACGGTACTTCAAAGCTATTGGACCAACCCAAACCATGTCGTTTGTTCGTGTAATGTGTATTTTCCAATGGTTTTGACGGATCTGCCCAATTTGGGTGGTTAACAAAATAATTTGTCACAGCTGAAGATGGACTCTAAGAGTCTGAAACTAAAGTAGTATAGTATACCACTAGGATAATTTTGACGGAGAGGGAATATTGTAAACCTTTAAAGGTTAAATTATCTTTTGGTATTAGATAGCGATCTCATAGTTTTTAGTGTGTAGAAGGTTTGCCTTTAAATAGCTTCATGTGTAACATTTTAAGTTACTAGTTGGAATTTTCCATTACTGATATGATCACAACATAGTCAACTACTATCACGGCTTCATTAATGTATAAGGCAAACAATGCAGATGATAATAGCTTAACGGCCAAATACCAATTACCCTTCCCTTCCCCCCCTTCACCCCTCCAACACCAGTGTGTATTCCAGTCTCGCTTTGAAATATTTGAGTATACGTTTATTCATCTTTCCTTGATTATTACGTAGCACTTTAGTCGTAGTACCACCAAAGGTAACACTTATAAATGTTTATGCCAAAACCAATCTAGGATTGTTCCTCGTTTCCAGATTATTACAATTAATAAAATTTGGTCGTCGTTAAGCTAACAAATACTAAATTTTTGTTGTAGTGGTGTTTGCGGACCAAATATTTGACATATACAAAGGTTAAGTTACCTTATGTCGCTTGTGGTCCAAGTCTTGTCCTTAAGGATTATACGCATTTTGGCGCGAACACCAACGTCAGATCCATAAGAACTAATTCGAAAGTTCACAAAAAAAAAATACATAAACACAAAATCACTGGTTGATCGTTATTTAGCATAATTTTTACTTGGTAACGACACGAAACAAATAATAAACAAGAAACAATAATAACAAGAGACAAATTGTAAACAAAACACTACCTCTACAGTAAACTGGACAGAACTAACAATAAAATTGGCTTCAGCTGTTCCATAAGGAATCTATTCTATAATATTAAAACGAAACTGGGTTTTTTTATTTCACGATTCTGAATCAACCACTTGACGGATTTTCATGATTTTTGTGTTGAAAGAAAGATAATTTTGAGAACTAGGGAATGTCGAAGCCATAATTTTAGTTTAGGGTCCCAGTTTTTTAGAAATTAAGTTTTAATTTTCAAAAAGTCTAGCAGCCGACGGACGAGTTAAAGTCGTTTTACTGGTGGTTTAACTAACAGCTGGTTTCTAACTGTCATTGAAATGTTTATGTCACAAGATGTTTGTATACAAAACTATTGATCCAGAGTTTGCCTACACACTATTTTACTTTAAAATGCAGTTTATTACCTACCGTAAAAGATCTATGTTATCAGGAGATTGTGTGTACACATGAAAATGTCAACCGGTGTAGTAGGTCTCCAGAAAACTGACCAGTAAGCTGCAGGGTGTCAGTAGAAACCAAAATCGATTCATACCATATCATAACTATCCCAGTAGTACTGATGATTCAGAAACTTGATAAAGGGGTACATTCCAAAAGTCTCAGATCTCGGATGGGCTGGGCAGGCTTTGCATGGCGGAGAGAAGATACTTCAACTTTTAAAAGTGTATTCCAAGGAGTACTACAAGGTAGAAGACCACTTGGAAGACCAAGTAATGAAAGACATCTTCAGACTGGTATCTTCCTTAGAAATGGCAAGGGATAGAAGAGAACGGGAGGCCAGGATCATTTTAGAGGTTTCAGTGGCCAAGGTGGTAAAATAAGGTAGGTAAGTGATAGTAGGCCTATGCAGTGGAAGGTGGTATGTAGCTGCTGTAATGAAAGCAGTGTGTGTGAATCGGCCACCAAGTTGTAAACTAGCTGTTCTGAATCATATACAGTTTTAATAGACTACTCGATTCCCGTACGTAGGACGGGCCAAACCGCTCGTTATCCTTATTGTTAGTTCTGTCCGGTTTTCTGTAGATGTCGTGTTTTGTTTACAGTTTGTTTCTTGTTATTTCAGTAATGTAAAACCTCGTTTAACCAAATAAAACTATCTAATCATAAACAATAACTCGTGCACTAGCTATATAACCAGACAGTGAGACACAAATAATGAGAAACTAACCCTAAAATAATAGAAACAAATTGTAAACAAAACACGACACATACAGAAAATTGGCTTCAGCTGTTCTATAAGGATAGAAATCTACTAAGGGACTATGTTTTATCTATAATTTTATCTAACAGCCCTTTGTGGAATTGAACAAATTTCAAACTAACTACACAAAATAAAACGTTTTATTCATTCAAAATTGTTTATTCTACGGTATCTTAACTAAAACAGTGAAGCACAAATTGTAAAATTAAGCCTAAAATAATACAAACATGACATCAGCACCCTCAAATGTGAACACCCAAAATGAAACACACTTGTACTATCTGAAGTCAACGATAAAGATGTTCTTTTTTCAAAAGAGGTGTAATGTAAAAGGCCAGAGTTTTTGGCTGCGACCTTTCATCTAGTTGTTTTAGCGAATTTCCCCTATGGGGAATTAGGTTTTTTCATACATATTGAGGCACTCACAGTGTATAGATTAGTTATTTTGTAAACTAACATCCCCTTTAGTAACAAGACCTAGGTTTGGGCCGTTCCCTAACAATAAAACCGTAAAAGATGCTTTGGGGTGGAAACAAAAAACTACAAAAAGTAGCGTAAACTGCCATAAACACTAAATCACATTCGGATTCTAGGGCAAAGCCAACCTATTTAGACTGTTTTATTACATTGAGTTCAGGCTGGAATGATTAGTCAATAGATTATACAGGTCAGATATTAACTATTAACTAATGCACTTTATCAGTCACTCAGATTGTCTATTTGCATTGATTAGAAAGGTCGCCACTAGCAAATCAACGATAGGCTAACATAGGGACAGTGTCAGTCAGTCAATACAAATGTACGGTAATAATACGTTATGAATAGTTTAACCTACTGTCAACACCTCGACGATATTAAGTTGGTATTAAGTTGATAAGTATAGGCTATATTGTCTTAATAATCATTTTAACATTACGTCCTATTTCATTTTAACTAAAAATAAGGCATAAATCAAACTTCCATAACTTTTAATGATGCTGATAAAATAGTAAATCCAAATAATAGATTGCTTACACCTAAACAAGTATTTGGAAGATTGTTCAATTTGGGATAAAGCAGACACTGTAAAACACATTCTAAAAAATCAATTGACATGAGTAAACTTGTTATGGGTTTTTGTTTACATTCGGCTCAATGACGTGTTTGTTTGTATTTATTATACATACCGTTTCTGTTTCTGATATCTGTGGTTTAAACCTTTAAACGGTTCTTATAAGAAAAGTCTTTTCGTTTGAATCGCATGTATGATATAACAGCTGACCGCCACTGTTATAAATCATGTTGTTGTGATGAATTTTAGCAACTGCAAAAAACAGGTAAATATTTATTTTCTCATTGGTTATGTTTGGATTTTAAATCCTTCATTATTTTACAACAAATTTTTACGTTCACGCAAATATTGTTCACGTGGAAAGTTTCGATGATTAGATTGTGTTAGTTGTACTGACTTTTCAATTATATCAAGCAGACCACCTAAAGATGCACTTCAAAGACACAGAAGACTTTATTGAACTAAGCTTTGAGGGTAAAAATATATTGAAATATTAGTGGCTAAAAATAGAAAAACAAAATAAAGATAAAATATACATTGTAGAAAATATAGATGCAATTAGCCTTGTTACGTTTGTGACCAAAACAATTCATAGCGTTCCTAAATTTAAACGTTCTTCAACAAAATTTATTCAACCTCTGATTCGTTACTTGATTTTATATTTATGAAGCACGTGGAAGATTTTGGGTTCACCAATGAAGAGAAACTAAAGATCATCGAGAGTTTGGTACTCGAAAATAGTGAAATCAAACTAATAAAGGAAGAAATCGCGGAGCTAAAAAAGGAACTCTCGGATCTGAAAAATGTTTTATCCAAACATGAAATAACTGATAAACAATACCTTTCAACAAGAAATTATTATTACAGCAGTTCCCCGATGGACGTTTTGAATTCCCCACATAATTTAGCAGAAACACACATGTTCTTCGGTAAGAACCACGAAGAAAGAATACCTCACAAAGTTGAATTTGAAATGAATGCAGAATCAAATCGCGAAGCTAAACAGGCTTTATTAAGACGCTTTCAATTTGAAAACTCATTAGGTGGATTTCCTCTGAATATTGAGCAAGAAAATCAAACGTTTCTGAAAACACAACATGTAGATACCAAGAAACAAGAGCAAAATACTTCACAATCGGATGAAATAGGAATATACATTCAAGATAATTGTACTAACCAATCATGTCTTCTCCATACGGATAAATTCAACCAAGAATGTTTCAAAGAAAAACAAAAGCTACAAAACATTTACATGAGAAATCCCAAGAGTCCTTTTTACATACCAGAAGATTACATTGACATCAATGCCTACCAAAAAGGGTTATTTGCCCATAAATTGAACCCAACGCAGGTTCTGTATGAGATCTGTGGGATTTGCTGCTGGGGCAAGCCAGAATTTGTTGATGGGGATATACTCAAAGGCTTCATGACATGTGTGAAGATAAAGGGGTACAGTTTCATGTCTTCGCATTTGGGGAGAAGTAAAAAGATTGCACGACATCTTGCATCTACTGCGTTCTTGAACGAAATCGGCTTCAAGTTCACCTTCCAAAATATACAATGATGAAGAATTACAATGGTCATCAAGGGTGTATCAGAATCTCCAATATTTACCTCGTGTTAGTGAAATACATACAGTGAGTGATTGAAATATTTCTCCCCCTTTAAAATGGTTGTATTAAAATTTGACCTCTACCCTAAGATTTATTATGCTACGTGAAAGTATCTCTGAGTATCTTCCTACCTAGTGCGGTCTTTTTTGTATAATTTAAAAACAAAATTTATCTTGCAAAATGACGTACTTTTTAATTGATTAATAAAGGATTGATTGATTATACTTTACCTAATTATTTTATAGAAAATGTTTTGACAAAAAAAAATTAAATTGATTTTACAGTAAACATATCACTGGGTTAGATGGATAGGCAGCAAAGACAGCTAAGGGGACTCTTTTAAGGGAATGACACTTGTGTGTTAATTTACTCCAAGAAAATCTGTAAATAAAATGTTCATTTGGCCAAATAGTATTTGTGCTGTAAGTTGGACACATGAATAAATGACTCTTTTATATTATTTGCGGATTACTTCCCTACATTAAATAAGTTTTACAAACAGAACTCCTCGTCGGCCTAAATATTTGGAAACTTACACAACTTTACTGGTATAAAAAGTCATAACCTTGGGGAAAGTTATGGAATTTCCTCGCAGTGACAGACTGATGAGCAAAGTTGGACCTAAGTTGGTAGTCAAGATGCCTTCAGTTCCAGAACTGCCCGCCAGGGGCGATCTTGTAAAGTTGTGCTTAATTAAGCATAGCGGGCACTCCGGCACTCCAAGAATGCTCTCAGCTAAATACTTCAATTATAAGTCGTTTTAGAAACAGACACCGTCTTAATGAGAGTTTTACATTTTACGTGAACAAAATCCACCTCTAAAGGTGTTTTAGGAGTAAATAATCGTGTTTGTCATATAAATGTTATTAATACCTAAAATCAAACGCAATTAGAGTAGTATCGATGAAGAGTGATCTGGTTCAATTAATGAGTTTTACCCTAGACATGGGCTTAAAGTACTTCACTTGATTGTCGTTTTACCTTACAGTTTAATGTGGGGCCGTGTGGTCATTTAAAACTGAAACAATTTGCAACAATAATAATCCAAAATTTAAAGAAAAGTAGACAACTTATGTTGAAGTATTGTAACTATGTACGTAGTCTTGTTTCTTTAAATGGGAAGATTTCTTACATTCAGATAGAAGTTTGACATGCTGAATAAACAATTACCGTTTTGTATTTTTTACATAGATACATTACTTCACATGCGATTAATATCTTATGTCATACCATACACGTTACGTCTGTACAAAACGAAACTCCCAAAAGGAACCGACATATTGAAAGACACGCCAGTAGTATCGTTAGGTTTCGATTAAAAATGTCTTTAAACTATAGAATTTAAGCGAGATCGTTTGGGCTATCATAAATAATTCCCCATATTCTTGTGCATGGTAAACAAAATGAAAATCGTAATACCTTTTCTTGGCATGTTTTATGTCACAAAAAATCCCCTATACCAAAATCTCGAACACAGTTTAAACAAACACATTTATACAAATTCTTTCACCGAATACCAACGTATAATGTAACCAGTTAAAAACTAACTGTATCAACAAAAACATGAATATATTAATTTTGTCAAAACCAAAATTTTATTTGACTTTTCAGTTCCAAACTTGGAATTAACAAAATACGCTGATTGTGCTGTGAAAGACTCGGCTGAAAAAGGTGTAAACTGGGGTGAAGCAAACTGGGAATTGATTGAGAGAACGAGGCAGCGGCAAGGGCGTCTAGGGGGTGGTAGGAATGGGTAGGGGTTGGTATGGTAGGGGGGGGGTCTGATAATCGAAACAGCGTGCCACTGACAGGCCTCGGGTACGATACGAGCGGCGAGCGGTGAGCGGCAAGCGGCGAGCGGCATCCTGAGCGGCACGTGAGCGGCGGTGGTGGCTACGATACAAGCGGCACATTTATAACGCTCATGAAATTTCCCAAGTTTTATAAGTTAGTTTAGTACTAAATGGTAAACTATGCTTACCTGCAAGACGTATTGCGACTTTGGTTGCTATCTGACAATTGTTTGCCTTTAAAGAAAAACTTAGTTTATAGAAAAACCACTTTTCTGGTGACTGAAGTGTTTTTAAACTTCCTTGTTGGTCATTCCACAAACATTACCTGGGCTGCACCTCACGTATAGACTCGTATCGCATGTTTGCTGATGTTTTCCTGTCATTTTAGGCCGAACAAAAGCATGACTCACCTGAGCGGCGAGCGGCGTTTTCGCGAAAATCGGTTTTGACTTGGAACCATGAGCGGCGCTGAGCGGTGCCGCTCACCGCCGCTCGCCGCTCAGACTTATCGTGGCCACGCTCAACAAATTTACACGCAACCAAATGAGACCCGATGTCAGAGCGGCGCCGCTCATACCGCTTGCCGCTCACCGCTCGCCGCTCGCCGCTCGTATCGTACCCGGGGCCACAGCCTCTTCACGTGGCAACTGGCAGCTAGGAGTGGACACAATCATAGCTCCTCAACCCACTACACAAACACAATGTCATGTTTGCACTGTTATGGGTTGTCTACGTACATGGTACAAGGGATGTTAGGGTTTTGTTAACATTTCAAATTTCTTACTCGCTGTTTGGATGCAGAGTTTATGACTAGATGTGTAATATGTATTGGAATAGTGGACCAGCGTCCTATTGTAAAATTTGAAGTGTGTTCTTGTGTTTCATGTCGATAACGTTTATAGTGTGATTTATTTATATTTCACTTTTATTGTACGATAGTTACGAATTGTGCTTTACTTGTTGGCTATGATCCCAGAGAATAAGCAATTGTAATTATATCAATTTTTATTAGGTAGAATATTTTTTTTTAATTTGAAAAAGTAACCCCCTGCTGTCAAAATGTTCCTTGCGAAAATCTATCAGAACTAAGATTAAAATTGTCTTTCTGATCCATAAGGATGACAAATGTAGGCCTACAGAGAGATAGTTTTTAAAATATGGTATCGAATGGCACATCCAAGCTTTGGGCTGTAACCTAATATAAAGTTGAAAGTGTGTATAGTTTCCATTTATTAACAACTCAGGTTTGGAGTCAGCTAATGAAATAATTTATTATAATTTTTATGTTAAATTTGTTACATGACTGATACAGTATATATTTGGTGATTGCAGAAGGCGAAAGCGTTGACTTGGGCGTGGATCAGAGAATGGTGCATCGCCTGGTGGCACTCGGGGAGAGAAGACGAGGACCCAGACATAGAGGACACTCCTAGTGATATGGGGTACTCAGTGACATTGCAAAATACTAGGTTTAAATAAATAGTAGGTACGAAAGTAACAGTTCCAAAGATTAACCTAGTACAACCAACGAACAGTATGACGAGAAGCTAGACGGTACGGGGTACTCGTTAGTGACATTGCCATACTTTGGATTTAGATAAATAATAAGTACGAGATAATAATAATAGGTAACTGTTCCAAAAAAATTACAGTTCAATATAATGACAACAAGGGGAGGGGTCTAGGTTATGGAGTACTTGTACATGTACAGTATTGAAGTAATAAGTACCACAGAAACTGTTTTAAAGCAATCTAGTACAACTGATCCCAAAATTCCAAATAAGCTTATCCCTTAAACATACAATCAAATCGCTAATCGACTTGTTGAAAGAAAATGATTAATTTCCAACATGGCTGGAGTTTGAGAATGAGTTAACGAGTATACTAGTCCATTGCACAGCTGTTGGATTTTGACATGCAATTCTGTTCTGAGTTATTAATACGATTTGTTAATAAATATAAAATGAATACATTTTGTAAGTGGAAAATACATTTAGTATCGAACAAAGGTAGAGATTGTGTCAGCAGTAGCCTCGAGCGGTGTCGGGCAGGAAGGAACGCCTCAGCGGAACACATTCCATGTCTGACGCGCTCAATTTATATATTGTTTTAGTAAGCTTATTTTGTTTTAACACGTATTTGATTGAAATACTAGGTCCATAGATTTTACATGTTTTATAAACATTTTAACTTTACGACGTACAGATTAATGTTATTTGTAGATAATAACGCGCAAATCGTAATAAATGTGCTTTACAGGTTTATGATATGAAGAAAAATTGTCAACCAGAAATAAACAAAAAGATGGTAATAAACGTAATCATTGCAAAAGCAACCACTAAAGGAGCAATAACAATATGAATGAGGGGGAATGAGTTCTGAATAGTACAGTCAGATAGTCAGAAAACTACTTACGAACTACCAGTATCGTTTTAAAAATTATGTATGACAACACAGATGGAAATATTGAGGAAAACTCTAAAATGATCAGACAAGAAAATTGATTTTTACAACTATATTTTACGTACTACGTATTTAAGATTTTCTATTATGACTAATGGTACAAAAAAAATGTATAGGTTATAATTTTACAAAAAATATGTCTATTTATTCAAATATTAAAAAAATGTATATTACCGTAGCAATAGTTTGAAAAGTGAATAGGTACCAAAGTATTGTATAAACAGTAGGTATAGTCAAACTGCAAAAGTAACTCTTATACATCGATATTTGTTACAAGAAGTAACAGTTGCAAAGAACAGTTACAAAAGTAACAGCAATAATAACAGTTGCAAAAAATAATAGTTTTTCTAGGCACGAGCCCGGGAATGTTTTTCACATTACTTCAGGCTAGACCTAGGGATTGCGGGACTATCACTTAGATAAAATCCATTGGTGATTTCGTGCGATTTGAGCCCGGGACATCAGGGACCGAAGTCCCGTGCTCTCGCTACTAGACCAGCTCGCTCCCCCAATAAAATAGTAGTCTGAAAAATAACCGTAGCAAAAGTAACACTGTGTTTTGTTCCAGGTACGCGACCCCCGTCAGTGTGGAGACGCCTCTGCCGTCGAGTCTGTCAAGAGGAACGTCGCTCAACGTGATCCGCGACCCTTACGCCGCGGGAAATGTTCCTCCGCAGACTCCGCCGTCGAGGATACATCCTCACGGGCCAATCGTGTCTCACCACGTACACTACGACGGTCGCAGCCTACCTTCGGCCAACCGGCTGCAGGCGAGGTCGCTCTCCACCGACTCGGTACCTATTATATGGCTAGAAGTAACAGTTGCATAGAACAGTTGCAAAGAGCAGTTGCAAAGAACAGTTACAAAAGTAAAAAAAATAATAACAGTTGAAAAATAATAGTTTTTTTTTGTCCTAGGATGCTAAGCCCAGGGTTGTTTTTCACATTACTTCAGGCTTGACCCCAGAGGTCAATTTTAGTCTGTTATTTACCTGGTACCAGTGGTACCACGGACTTGGCTCAATTCAATGTTCGTTCATTTTCTATTTAAAACTGGATTAAACATTTAGCTAGAGAATGTTAAGTCTTCTACTATCTAAAGATGTACATTGGATAACATTCCTTAGAGGAAAAGCCATCAATTAGAAAATAAATGTGAAGATGTTGTAGTAAGAAAACTATTCAGGAGGTTTGAGGGACCTTTCGTTTCATAGATGGATTATGGATTATGGTTATAAACCATATGGATTATGGTTTTAGCCAATGTGTTTAACGATGTAGACGATTTCCCTTAAGTAGTCATAATCGAATTAAAGAGCTGAATTTTACTATTTAATTTAACTATAATTTTGTAGATCCCTAATTAATAAATGTATGTTTTGGATGCTAGGCCAAACTAATCAACAATACATCGGGCGAAATTTCATAGGTTAAATACATACGAAATATTAAGAAACCTGCCTCATATATTTTCTTTTTCCTTTTGAAACTTCTTATGTATTTTATTGTATTCTAAAAATCAACAAATACTACTGCAAACGCTCGGTGCACAATAAGCTGTTCTAGCTGCGATGCAATCCCATGGTTACTTGTAAGACCCTCTGTAAAAAAATAAATAAAATAATAATAAAAACTGCAAATGCCCTTGTGTGGGTTATTTGAAATAATAAACAAAAAATAATCTGGCCAAATCAATCGTACACTGTAATTACCGAACTGTTGAGCAAAGAGCGAGCGGCGAGCGGGTTAGGCGAGAAGTACGATGTTAAAATAATGAAGCAGCGATGAGCACAAGCGCTCACAGCCGCGAGCTAGCAGCTAACACTGCTTCATTACTTAAACAGCTGTTGTACCTTGGCCTCCCACTCTTTAAATACCTTCTTTCACTCCACTCTACTCCTTCACTGCTGTGTAGACTTGTAAAGCGTTAGATTACGGACATGGTTAAATTACACATACTAATAAGTTGTTGAGTGTTTTATCCTTAGGAAGAGTGTTTGTCGATGACATAAGATATAAATTTTCTCAAATGGGGTTTAGAAAATAAAATATTTCAGTGTTCAATAGTCAATGGTATTATCTTTGACTATTAATACAACTTGACATTCCATTCCTATGCTCAATTTGTAGCCAGATTTTTCATCAAAATCGTCGTAGTTGATGTGAGCCCCCGACAGATTGCGCTGAACTAAATTATTAAATTCTGTCAAATAGACAAAATTTAATTCGTATTGCAATTCAAATATATTTGAGTTCATAATAGGGTTAAATTTTATTTTTTATTAGAACAGATACCGTACTCAATATTGTCAATATTGAGACTAATTTAAATGTAAACATGTTTTTAGCAATTTAATTCGAAACTAAGATTGAAGTTGGCGGAATAATAACTAATACAGTAATAAATCTTGGTAACAGTCATTGATATAAGTTTTAACAGTCACACTAAATACTGTAAACAATTCTTTGTTGTGACTATGGTCCGTATGATGGAACCTGTCTCCTGACCGGAGGTCTACATGGAGACTGACCAATGGTTAAAGGCTATAAGACTACAGTATTATAAGATGTCCTTACATAATGGTTCGGATACAACTTTGTCGTAATCGACATAAAATAGTAATTTAATCAGCACACTCTGTCGGTGAACAGATTCAACCACTAGAACGTTCATTTCTAATCTAAAACTGGTCTAATCTGAAAAGGGAATGGAATGTTTAGGCCTATCGCAAATCAAATTTAGTAGGGTATCATCAATCAATTTTCCTTGAATTTTATTGTGAAAATTTCTTGACCAATAGAAAGTGGTTCTCCTATTTAGATTATTTTCACCGAACGTTTGAGTTACAAGTGTTTTCTGTGTAGGTGTACACCATACTGATCCGCCTCCCTGGCGACACAGCGGACTGCGAGGGTGCGGGGGACAACCAACCCTCCATCACAATGATCGCGGAAGCGGACGGCGCACCTCCGGGCCACCGGCCACTGCCTCGGCCCACGCACAACTCCACCATAGACTTCAACCTGAGTCTGCACCCCGCGGGGGCTAACCGGCGGCCCTCGCACATCACCGACATACGGATACCGCTCAACCCCAACGCCAAGATCATCCCCAAGCAGCTCGCGACGGGGCCCAAGACACTCCTGTCGGGCGCCAAACACCACCCGGCCAAGAAGAAAAAGAAAACGCAGGAGAAGAAGGCGGATAAGAAAGCGGCGAAGACTCTATCCGCGATTCTATTGACATTTATCATTACGTGGACGCCGTATAACATCCTAGTGTTGTTGAAGCCGTTGACGGCGTGTACGGACTGTATACCACCCGGGCTGTGGGACTTCTTCTACTTCCTGTGTTACATCAACAGCACGATCAACCCCGTGTGTTACGCGCTGTGCAACGCCAGCTTCAGAAGGACTTATCTGCGCATATTGACGTGCAAGTGGCATAATCGCAACCGCACGGCGATGAACAGGGGTTTCTACAACTGAGTGATACACCGTGATAAATTCCTCGACGGAACTTTAATATCGTTTTATAAAGTATTTTTTAATACGTATCGACCGTGGACGCGGTCTAGTATTATTTTCTAATTTGCTCATACATGTGCTCTCTCGTCTCGTCATCGGCAGGTCATAGGCCTAATGTAATCTAGTGTTTGTACGGACGGGACTGTTCGGATTTTGGAATCCACCGACTGTAGTACTCTCCATACTGGTTGAATTTAAGTAGCCGAAGTTATTACTTTCAAAACCTACATTGAAAACTGAAAACCTATTTTGATACGATAAAGTTTAAAACGGAATATAACACATAGTACGTGCAATATTGTTTCGGTTTGTTTAATAAAAATCTGTGATCGAATGAGCTTACGATTCATCAAACTCTCATCCGGAACTGACTTTTTAGATTAGCTTACGGTCTTCTCTTTTCAATTTGGAATTTTTGAAAGTAATTGACTATTGTAAAATTTAATATATACAGTAATATAACTATTTTTGTCAGAAATATGATTCGATTGAGATAAACGCAATTGCATTTACATTTCGATAGCTTTACAACTATCACTGTTCTAAATTGTTGTGGATAATTGTAAACGATCTGATCGCAGTTTTATAATGCCTATCAATATTTCAACATGCATCTATTAATTCTTTTGATAAATTCCTATTTAATCCTAATGAAATAATTTCACACAAAAAATATTTGCTTACTTATTTGGTTTTAACAAATTTGGAATAAGTAAAAAAGAAACTTTAGGGTCCATTGGCAAAAATCTGGTTGAACGTGTGGTATGATTCGAATGATACGACTCAGTCAAAGAAGTTTAATATCAAAAACACAGAGACCAACAATCTTTCATCTCACAACACGCAGAGACCAGTTTATTTGTCAGCGTATTCGACTTTGTTTTACTTTCTAACAGCCGAATTGCGTTCAACTGTTGGTCAAAGTCGTCCGACTAAATTAAAACTCGTCATCTCAAACATTATTACTCTCTATCTAGAAAAGTATTCCAATATGAGTTATTTGTAAATTTAATTGGTACAAAAAGCTTGAGGTTAAGTAAAATTTTCGATCTTAATAACACTTTTATAGACTTTTTTAGACACCCCTAATATGTACTCGTTATGAAAAACAAAAATAAGTAAATAAATATTTGAATTTTAAAAGTACAAAATGTCCAAAAGATATTTAGAACTTTTTTAAATTTACAATAATATTTCAAAGTTTAAACAGTTTTATCAATTCTATTGATATTTTTGATATTTTATGCAAAGCTATGTACGAGAGGAAATAAGGTGGGATATACTATGAAAAACAAGGAAGTAGATCGTAATATTACAACGATTGCGATGGGGTCTCTCCAATATCTACAAGGTCAAAGTCAAAATCATTTAATCAGCCAGATTAACAATCATTTTGCATTGGCCAAGTCTTAAAACTACCAAGGCCAACTATTAGGCTAAAATTACATTTATTTTGAAATAAAATTAAGTACCTACTCAAAATCTGCTATATTTTAAAACAAGCAATTAGTTAATTAAAACGTTTAATAATATTACGAGACTATAGTCGCGAAGGAAAAATATCGTCGATGATTAAATTTGAATATGAATTCGGCAAAGAATTTAATTTGCATCCTGTTGAAAAACAGGTTACGTTCTTTGATTGTCAAACAGTTTATGGTGATTAAATATTATTTGTTATCTTTTATTATTCCAATTAGTAAATCGAATAAAAGTCGAATTGATTATTTTAGATTCTTAGGTTTTATAAATTTCAATAATGAACTTTTTGAACACCAGCAGCCAATATATCAAACAAATGTTTGAAACAAATATTTTCTTGTGAAAACGGGTTTTTAGAAGCAAAACTAAAACAACCCAACTTATTATTTAATTGGAACCAGATTCTCCAAAATTAATTTTACACTAAAATATTTTTGTATTAGTAATTATAAAACTTATTTTGGTTATTAAATTCCAATTGGGATCACCTAAAAGATGCTAAAATTCAGTGGCCTCATACATCCATGCAGAATTAAAATTATTTTTTTTAACAAACGATCATAAAATCAAACCATAAAAGAACCAATATTCTGGAACGATTCATTAAATTGATTGGACTTCTTCGGCTTTTTACCTCCTGAAGACACATATCTTTAGTAGCACTGTCAAAATAAATTGGTCTCGCTGAGTTTAAAGTTGTTTGTTGTCAATTTAGTGTAATTAAATTGTAATAAACTTCCAACTTGAAGAAAAAATAATCTACAAATAATTTTGTGTGGATTATAAAAAATACTAACAATCATCGGCACTCACTTGTTCAATATGAACTTTTCATAAAACCAAATCATTACCATAGTTCAAATAACTTATGTATGGTTAAACTGGTAAACATTAAAACCAGTAGCTCACTGAGCGATTGTCACAATTTTCTTCCAAATATTTTTACAAATTTACATTACCCTATTGTTTCTCCAGGTAAAATGTTGACACAGTTCTGGTGGTGAGTAAATTAACTATGATACACGAATTTACAGTATTTTTACGAAGCCAAAAACCCATAACCAATATTCTATGAAATGTTGCCATTGTTTCGATGATTCTCCACATAGATGATGTATTATATGTGCATGTGTTGTATCTATGTCCATGACAGTTTTTTATCTGCAGTGTTACTATGGCTAGTACCTTCGGCACTAGAATACCACGTGTCTTAGAGTCAAAGTTCAATATTTAGATTAGTTTACTGTACGTGTTTTAACAGAAATTTGTTCAACCAAGAGTCAATTCAACTTTTATCGCAACATTTTAAAAACACTAGTTTTTTCTTATGTAAAAATAAGTAGCCTACCACTATAAGCGAAAACAAGTTTTCGTTTTATGTCGCACCGTGGGAACTTAATGGAAATTATTTTATAGTGTTAAATACCATATCAATATGTGTGTACAGTACCTTGAACGGTTACATTTACATTTTTGGATGAATTTTTTCAAATGGAAAATGTTTTTCAATTTATTAACTTAGAAGTAAGATAGTATAATTTTGTATAGTGACAAATTTGGTTACAGAAAGAGAAGGCCTGCCAGATAAACTATTTAAATAAAGATATTTCAATTTGTTTATTAAATTGTTTAAACAGATTGGTTTTATATGCAGCATTCTCCTTTATAACTTGAGAATTGATACCCAGTGGAAACCCCCAAAATAAGGAAATAAATTATACTACTAATTCGAACAAATCGATCTTTCTTGAAATGTTCTAAACAACGATAAAATAAAAATGAAAGCATCCAATTTAATGTGGTTAAATATTATATTTGCATGTATTAAAACTTATTATATTGACATAAAAAAGTACAACAATAGAAAAATCCACAATAAGATTCATATTTTAGAAAATATTTATTTAAAAATATTGAAATGACTCTTGGTTGTAAGTTTAGTTATGTCAACAATGCAATGTTGAAAGACACCAACGACAAAGATATTTTTATCTTATATTACTTAAATACCTGGGATTGGTAAAGAGTCATATTTTTTATGACAACTCAAATTGAAGAAATTGCCATTATATGTAATTTTACTTAAAACCTAGTAACTTGAATTGATGTTTTGATTAGATTTATGTCTTGTTTGTAGCTGGGCAGTTAAGTCATATTTTAAACTTCAAATTGGTGAATTGTACAAATTTGTTGTCGCTAAATTACTTAACAAATATTAATTTGAATGAATTTCAAGAAAACGATTGTCTACAGGTGGTTAAAACTAAACAATTTAATTTTATCTGTGGTAAATTCCAAATGGTTGTTATAGTTGATTTATTGCAAGAACTGATTACATATTTTACAAAAATAATTCTTATCCTTTTCAAATATTAAGCAATCGATATACAACTTTTCCAAACAGTTAGTTTATTCCGCCTTGAATATTTTAAATATATTTAATTGGTTTAATGATAACTAAGATTTAAACCTCATTATATACTCCAGTTTTATTGTCTTAGCACTTGCAAATTACATACGAATCTTCCCATGATGAATTATTCACGATATTAAAAAAAAATATAGTTTCCTGCAACTCATTCACCATTGAACACAGGCTAACGCAATGCAAAGAACATTAAAACTATCTTCAAATGAAACATTTCTTAAACTCTAAAAACGAAACATTTCACCGACATTGTTGCATTATTTCATTGTTGTAATGATATATTTCTTTCATTGACAAGAAATTTTTTAAAACTGTTGCATCTGAACAACGATTTCTTGTGAAACATCTCAGTCAATTTTTCCAATAATTAAGTTCCACTCACAACTTAACTGTACATATTCTTACAACAAACCTGTAAATGTTCGAAATGACAATCGAAATGCTGTAAATAACATTGTTTACTATTTGTAAGATATGCCAAAATTTGTGCCGAAATTGAGTGTTACAAAAGATAAATAGAGATAAGCATGTGTACATATGGGTCTAATGTTCGTGGACTCACATCCACATAGATCCGATTCTGGAAATTCGGTTCATAAAATCATAGAAGAGATATTTCAGTAAATGTTCCTTAGTCTCAGAGTAAATTACCTCAAGTTAAAAATATCACTGTGTAAATTCTGTGGGTGTTGTGTGTATTACCTTCGAATAGTTGAAGACTGGTATTCATAGCATATGTCTCCTTACTTGCATTGAATCATAAGTTATGTACTAAAGTATTTGGAAAAAAATTATTAAAATATGTTACTGTACAGTAAATACATGTGATAACTGATCATCCGACTAAAGTTATATATAAAGTTTTGTACTCAGCTGAATTGATGGTGTGTATTTGATTGTATAGCTGATAACATAACGATTGGGTATTTGCTGGAAACAGGACAAAAGTAATTTTTTTCATAATAAACTAAGTAAAACCGAAATAAATGAAATGAAAATATATGTTGTAAGTGAAAATCAGAATTAACTGTAGGCAAATTTATTTTAAATTGGATAGTGATAAAATGTTTCATATGTTCATTTCAAATGGTCTATACTATGTTTAGTAAATGAAAACATTTGTGAAAAGCTGTTGATTATTTAGAAAATTGACGTGCACATTTTTCTACTTCAGGATTATTTCTTACAATTTGTAATAACTAGACTAAGCTGGTTGATAAAGAAAGTAAAGCCAAAATAACTTTTAAATGAAAATGTAAGTTAGTTTGTTTATTAGATGTGGCGACTATATAAACACTTTGAAATTAGGAGGAAAACACAAAGATTTATGCTAGATCGCAAGACAGCATGAGTTATGAAAATATTCCTGCATTGGCTTCATAAATTTGTGAAACATTTGTGAAAATCCCCATTGAAACTTTTTTTCCTTGATGTTCAATATGAGTTAAATACGATACGTAAATAAAATGTTAACCACACGATGATTACAAGAGCTAAATATGTTTTGAGATTATTTCTGTTAACTTGTGATTATTTTAAATTCACTTAATTTAATTTACGCCATTCATCGCAAGGAGAACAGAAATGTCTTGCAGCTTCAAACTTTAAACCACTATCAAATTTCCGCAGCTAACCTTCTTCTTGTTGATGTTGCTTGATCAGCATGGCAAGATAACAAGATTATACTGATAAATCAACTTGTAAACTTACAATTAATATGCACGATGCCTAAAGACGTTTAACCTTTAGTTTGTCAGCTATGGAGGGGAAACAGTTCAGTTCCTAGGGTAGTATAACATGTCACAGTGAAGAAACGACGACGCACATTAGACATAACAAGGTTGTTTTGTATAAAATATAAATGTTAAAATGTACGACTAAAATTATTTGTAAAATAATATTAAAGTTTGTATTAATTAGTTAAATATGAAATATTGTTGAGTTTTATAAATAAAAACAATAAATGGTAAGGTTTCTAACAGAGCCTATTATTTAAGGCTTTAATTCCATGTTTAATACGGGTATTTGATGTACGACTGAATAAAGACATCCTCATAACAGTGTGTTTATTTCTCCCCTACACAGCTGATTGTTTGAATCCTCATAACAGTGTGTTTATTTCTCCCCTACACAGCTGATTGTTTGAATCCTCATAACAGTGTGTTTATTTCTCCCCTACACAGCTGATTGTTTGAATCCTCATTACAGTGTGTTTATTTCTCCCCACACAGCTGATTGTTTAAATCCTCATAACAATGTGTTTATTTCTACCTTACACAGCTGATTGATGAATGTGAAATTGGAAATAAAATTATAACAAGTGCAAGCTTTTGAGCATTTTAAAATCAACTGAAAATGGTTTAAAATTAGTGGGGTATAATTTAATGCTATCTGTTTTTATAATGTTGTTGTTTGTATTCGCTGATTTTAAACAGATGTTTCTGTCTCTTTTTATGGGTATACGAGAAACCCCATTTGGCAACGGGAAGAGGACGTGAAAGAGAATAATGTTGCTATTTCGACTTGGCGTATGAAATAGTCACATATTCTTAATTCATTTTAGAAAAAAACTTACTACCTTATTTTACTACCTGGTTGGAGTTTACCAGCTGGTGATATTGTCATATGTTTTAATATGAATTAATTGTCGATATGTTTACAGTTCAGTTTGTTTACTCAAATAAAATACACATCAATTTTTCAAAATATGTCTAAACAGTTTATTCTATTAATATAATAAACCACAACACTACAATGGCGCAGTCGAAAATATTGATTTTAAGTGTAGCTCATTTGACGGGACGACCGAAGATTCGATTTACTGGTTTGAACGCTTGAAGATCAGATTAAAGTCTACGATATAGCCTACATAAACAGTTTACGCAATTGAATCAGTTGATGTAAACAACTGTTTTTAGGTAGGGAAAAGCTAAAATATAAAATTGGTTGCAATACATGGGCCATCCACCACTACTGTGGTTGAAGTGACCCAACACACTAAGGAAGTTATTAAGATTATATATGTTATTTACTTTTATGATAAATTTGTTAACCAAAAGATTACTTTCATCGCAATTTATAGCTTTTTTCCATCAACCTATATTTTAAATTATGTTTTAGGCTATTTTTTTGTCAAAACAAATCTTATAGTTAATTTTTTAATTCCAGTTTGTGTACAGCATGAGATATCGAGAACATTGAAATATTGAGACTGGGAAGGTAGCGACGTCCTGTAATCCAACTATTAGGAAGTCACGAATTGTGGATATTTATAGGCATGCACTGTGGATGCGATACTCCCTGGTGTGGATTAACGTCCGCACTAGTGAGTACTACGACTATCCGCAGTACTTCCCGATAGTTAGACCAATTCGTGAATACCAAGGCAAAAATGTGGTTCGGATTCCACTATAAATTGTAGGTCCCCTAGTTTCCATTAGCTGTATAGGCTATTAACTAACAGCTGTGTCTAAGGAATATGTCAGCCTTAGTCACTAACAAGACTACAAGATCGCGTCACTCATCCTACACTCATCTCCATTCATACTTGGCTTAAAATACTTACTTTGTATGGTCGCCATTTCATTGAAAAGTATTAAAGTATTATATTACATGGCCTGCTGTGGAGTCACCAAAGAAGTATAAACTCATTATCACACGGATCCATCGTCTAAATGGAAGTTAACTCAAATTATTGTAATTTGTTTATGTTTGAAGTATTAAAATTGTTTTAAACTTGTTGTAGGGAAGGAATATACAGAGTCCTCGAACCCTTTACCGACATTTTAAGGTATCATTCCTGGACCAAACTATCATTTTACAAACTCCCAGAAAATTTGTACAGAAACCATTTTTTTCTTTTCTACAACACTTGTTTTGTTCGTCAATGGCTGTTCGTGCCAAAACGGCAAGTGTCGTCCCCACCCCTGGGCTTCGGGGGTGTGAGTGGCACAGGCCAGTTAGGCACCAACGTTCGGTCGCGTCGGTAGTCGTTTTCAAGCATTACAATTTCATTCATTTTACATATCACAATCAAGTTTACATTTCAAGTTTCATGTTACATATTTTCATTTACTTATTATCATTTATACAGTAGCATTATCATCATATTTCAATAAACAGTGTTTTACTCCAGGTGCAGTGTTATATTTCAGCTCCATCAAACCGAGTTCATTACATTACATATTTCATTACATTCTGTGCGTCTGCGTACATCGCGGTACGTACATATTTTGGTCCTTCGAGCCGGATATGAACCAGCGACCTATTTGGTACATTGACTAATGGACAAATACCTATTTGAAGAAAACTTATTAATTTTGTACACTTTTAGTTTTTAAATTACGGTACCGGTAATTTTAAAACTTTAACGACATAAAAGCTACATATATGTGCAAAACTATTGTTGTGATGTTTTTATTTATATCTTATTACTACAGTAACTTCAACGATACCAAATTTACGAAAATCAATTTTTAAATAAGGGAGAAAGAACACTAATTGTAAGATGCAGTTTATGAAACAATATCTACGAACATTGGGTAACATCAGTGCTAGTTAGCTAAAACAATCAGCTGTTTTGATTGTTGGTTGTCTGTCTAAAACATGGCCTTATCTTTTTACCGTTGTACCTTTTTGTGTTATATGTTTAAAACTTTTAAATGGTCACTGTTTTAAAACTAAACACCATAACAACATAATGTTTTTTCAAAATAGGTTTGTTTCATAAATCTATGTACCAAATTTAAATTCACTAGAAAAAGTGGTTCGTATTTTTTTTATCGTTGTAAAAAGCAAAATAGCGGTTTTGTACGAGTGAATTTTTAGTTTTGACATTTTTTACATGACATTTTAGGTTGGCCATGGTCCAGAAATGATAAAATAAAATGTCAGAAGAGACTTAGGGGACACCCTATTTGAAAATTATTTTAAGGAAACTTATTTAAGATTTTTCATTTTTGTAAATACTATTTTATATTAACTGTGAAATTTTACTTATTATTCACCCTTCAAATGAAAAAGGAAAGTATATAAAAATACAATAAAACAGTAATATTTCTTTTATTTAATTGCAGATCATATACACAAGTATAAATTTACCTTTTCTAAACTATAGGTACATGTTTAGAGGCACTTGCAATGCCTTGTAATGTCTTGGACAGCAGTTGAAATTATTACACTACGTTTAAATAAGTAATGGAAGCAATACGTACAGCTGTTCATCTACTAAGTTTACTGCACTGAGTATGTTTCATAATATATTTTGCTTTCTTAAATTTATCAAAAATCGACAAATTTATTTGCTTTGTATTAACTTTGCATCACTATTGCCATACAATGGTCTTTTTCATTTATAATAGGGGCTTCACAAACAAAATTTAGACTCATGCTAAGGTCGAATATTTTTTTTAATCAAAACAAACCGTCCAAACCACATAACGTTTTGTTACGTACATTGAATTTACGTTAAACACAACTGGTTAAAGCAGCAAAACTAAATCAATATATAAATCACGACATAAAATGTTGAATTATTTTGGTTTCGAGTTTCGATGTAAAAAGATACAGTGAGCTGAATTATTAAGCCCATATTGGAAGGAAGGAACATTTATGTGTAAGAAGGGCTGTTTGTTTTGGGGGGGATGAAGGCTTTTAAGGTGGGTGGGCAGAGAACTCTACTTTACACACACTTTTTACGCTTGGCTGACATTATTTTGTTATTTTCCACTGGAAGGTAAAAATATAATACTTATTCGTCAATAACTAAGAAAGAATACGTTTTCAAGTATTGTTAATGTTTCTCAAACATAGTTTACAAATAGCAAATAAATATTTCTCACTTATCAGTTCAACCAGTTATCATTTTGTAATATAAGGGTAGCTCTGTACAAAATTAATATACAGTATATTTATATCTTCTGCATGCATTTTTTTATCTAATTGCAAACATTTTAGACCAGTTAACAAAGTTTTAAACATTGATGTATATTTTTTTAAACTATATATATATTATACTGTTTAGAACATGCTTTACTATATATATATATATATATATCGTTTTATATAACTCATTTAAAGCAAGTGCTCATGTTAACTGCATAAAAAATTACAATTGTGTCATATTTTATACATTTTGTATATCCATAACATGCTGATAAATTGCTACACATTGCAATAAATAGGAACAGAGCTATATTACAGTAAGAGTTATTCATTTTATTCTATTCCGATGTCAATGAAAATGAGATAGTAAAAATATTATTTCCCAATTACCAGGACATAGAAGAATGCTGAGATTCACATTTTCATAGATTATCAACAATATATATTTGGAATATACGAGATTCCAAAACCAACAGAAGTTATGAAAAATAGGTGTAGCGTCTAGAATTTATTTTTATCATCTCCATAATCTCAGCACATAAACCTTAGTAAATACCAATTAACATACTATAAAGTAAACAAATATCATAACAAAATCAGGAACCATACAGATGCTAAAATCAAAGCTACCAGAGCAAATACAGGCAGTAACAAAAGTATTCCTATATAAATAACAACCAGCATTCCACGTTCACTCATCTTGATCAATATTTACAAATATGAAGTACATAAGTTATCACTTATGGAAAGTTTTTCAATAGTGTAGTTAACATCTAGATGTTGGAGGAACTCCTGATTTGTGCGGATGATACATAGCATAGCCCTTACATAGTTTTTGATATCGCTATGTGATTCTTATAAATTGAAGGATATCCAAAATTTGAGATTGAATTCTTATCCAAGAATTTTCCAGAATTCTTATCCAAGATATCCAGACGAGTCTCACAGTTCCACGGTGCCGGGCTCCTGGTACATTCGTTCAATCTTTGACTTGTTCTGTAACATTAGCCAACTTTGAGATATGTTTTGGACAGCTTCAATAATTGTGATAAGAGGAAATATTCAACATCCGAAATATCTGACTTTCAAAAACATATTGTGAAATGCGTTAAGAAACTTAAATCAGTAGTATTTCGCATTGGAATATATCAGGTTGAAAGTTTAAAACTAACTAAATATCATTTTAGCGTTGTAGTTTGTTAAATCTCATGAAGTACGACGTTTAATTCCTCTATTTAGTATTCAAATACTGTACTTATTTACAATTAATTATTCAAAATGGTTAAAACATTTAAATAATATACAATCCTAAAATATACTACCACTTACGCAAGTGACATAAGCACTATGTCTTTTACCTTACTAATATAAAAGTGAAGGAATCACATAACCATGAATACATTCAGGGTTAGGAAGGTGCCTAAAAATAAATCGCCCAAAAAAAGTAATGTTAAAAACTTTAAACACCCCCAAAAATAGAGTATCCTAAAAGCCTGAAAATTTGGTTCAATCTTAGACTACAATAACTTAATTCATTTGTTTAAATAACGTAGGAATTTATAAGACTGCTACATTTACCATTAAACAAATAAATTGGTAAAGAAACGCGCCTTCACGTTACAAATCTGGAGTGAGACAAAGTAATTAGAGTGAGACAATGTTAACATTGTCCACGCGAATGATGAACGAATTGGCCACTTTGCTTTCTCAAATCAGTGAGAGAAAATGTACATTGTTAGGTAACTGTAGGAAAAACAATTTGTCTTCCATTTACTGTAGTCTATTATCTTTGTCACTGAGGGCTAGGACATCATGGAATGGGCAACTGGTTTTTTTAGTGTAAAACTGATATTTCTTTCTAAATAGTTTCAAACATAGATCACATAACACCGTTCCACCGCGTTTTCTTCCCCGTTCAAACCCGTTCCTACTAAAGGAGCTCTTTGTAATAATAGCTCCTATGACGAATATAATAGCTTAAAAACTTTGTTGAATGCTGAGCTTACCTCTCCGTTGCGTTTCAACTTCTGCGCTGCCCTCGCTGACGCCACTCGTTGACTGAGAATCTGTTAAGTAGAAATCATTAGATTAGTTTCGATAAGCTCCTAGATATTCAAATGTGTCCAGTCTTACTTGCCAACACATCTTCCTAATTCTATGCATTGAATTGATCTTTACATTTATTGAATCGATATAAGATCACTATCCCCTCATTCTTTTGTGGAATTCTTTGGTTGAAAAGCTTGTGTTGGATATATTTCTTAAAAGGTAAAGCAAAGCAAGGGGTTAGCCGACAGTACAAGATCGAACTGATTAAGTGGTGGCACCAAGATGGTAGCCCATCACATCGACTTTTTGGCTTCCCGTCGCTTGGTATATTCCCTTGTCTGTGCTCCTACCCAAGGTTTTAGTCCTCAGTCCTTGAACACTAGGTGCTCATCACCAACTAAAACATTAGGATGACATGACGTCATCGAACATCATATGACTGTTTTGATCACCTGTTGTCTCCTCTGCTCCGCCTCCGCCAGTTTCTCCTCTAGTTCCTCCAATGTAGGAGGTGACGCCTGTTGCTCCTCCAACATCCGCAGTCTCTTGGGCGGATGTTTCTTGATGATGCTCTCCTCCTCCTCGTCCCTCAGAGGGATCTCGAACGCCAGACCCTGGGCTGCCAGCATACACTCAGTTAGTGGTATCCTAGATACTATGAAAATGTTGAAAAAGAAAACAGAGAGTGGAAGTTATCAAATACTTTATGTCTGTGAACCTTCATCATGCTAAGTTCCTACATCTCTCATTTGTCTTCAACATGACCAAGTACTGTACTTTGTCATTGCCCAAACCTTTCTTGTATTTCTTAAAAGAAAGTTGTGGACTTCCACGGTGGGTTTCCAACCAAGATATCTTTATGACTTTGAACCGTGTTGTGTATGAGCGATGTAAGATGCCGACATTTCGCAGTGCAGTTCTCTAGCTTCAGGACAACGTAAAGACCTTGTTCACATAAACACTACCCCTTACTCAAAAATGATCCTTACTTACTATCCCTCGTGGTGAAAAGTGCCTACGATGTCCTGAAGATCCCTTCACTATAGTGCGTTCAAACAGCCGTGGCACCTGAGGGATTAGGAGGCTCCAAGGGTTATGGGGTCTCCTAATCCGTCAGGTGCCACGGCTGTATGAACGGAGTATAAACACATCTACAGTAGAGGTGTATAGTCAATGATGAAACCCTGATCTCCGAAATGTTACTTACATCGCCCACACACACTTCAACCCAAGTCTCACAACAAATTTTTCCTGGTATTTAGGATGTTGCCTAATTAGAATCTTTCCTGGGACGAATAAATAAAACTATGTTTGGTATATACTGACGTGTACGGGCGGTGATAGACACATCTGAGGTGTCTGGGTCCAGCGGTATGACCGCGGACTTGGAGGAGTTACAGCCCATGTCACATCACCTCATATGCGGATCTGGAACAATCAATGATGAAAACATACAGTATAAATCTATTAACTTCTATACTATTATAAAATTGAGGTGGTGTCTGTCTGTCTGTCTGGGCAGCTGTCTCGACTAAAATGCTAAACCGATACAGCCAAAATTAAGCACAAAGTTGGTCCACATATTTAGGAATGTCATAGGCCTATTCACATCCCTGAGTTCCTCTCGGGCTACGCCCCTTGGATGTCCAAAGTTTTGAAGTGAGGTTTCCAAAAGTAAATATTAATTGGTCTCCATGGAATCATGAGAAAATTCACAATGTTTACCTTTAGCTTTGACATTAAAATGTAAAGAACCAGAATTTCCAAATGCTCATTTCACAATTTCAGACAGCAGATCCAAATAAATTAAATATATTTTACACAACTATGTGGTAGGATTATTGAATCTTAAGCTTTATGATGGATTATTTATCCTAAATCTATTTCAATTATTATGAAACTGATTTTTCTTCCCGTTGCGAAGCACGGGTACAGCAGCTAGTAACTGATAAGTTTATGATTGATAATTATTATCAATTGGGTAAACGCATGGGTTTCCTTCGTTATACGACTATATACCGTAAGACATACCTTAGGTATCTAAACCGATCAGATTTTCATCTGTAGGGGATTTCTGTAATTATTAAGAAAAAAAACACGTCTTTCGATATATGTAGTTCATTTATTCAAAACTCTTTTATAAAAGGACATGAATCAAACTGATTCTCTAAAACGATTATTTTTAGTAAACCATACATTGACAGAATCGCCAATATATTGTAACCAACCAAAGCAAATTATAAAAATGTTAAAAGAAAAAAGTAGTGTGTCTAGTATCATTAAAATCTAAATAGTTATTCAACTAAATTTTTAAGATAGGTTTGCTCAGTCAAATGTATGGAATTTTGTTAAAGGTTTATTCGTCGACTGGTGCTGGCATCTGGTGGAGTTACGGCCAACTATCTAGCCGCTGTGTTCAATCTACACTACCGACACTGCCAACTCATATCGTAACTGTTAATTGAAATCACACTGTTCACAGACAATATATCCACTATATAATATATTCAATACAATACATTCAATAGACCATCAACCATCCAATTGGTATGATATGAAACTTCGTTCCAAGTTTCATGTAAATATCTATATTCTAAGGGGTTACATTCTAAGGGGTTTTTTTGCCAAATATATTGAATTTGATGACCCGGGTCAACGAAATAGGGAGTCCCCTTAGAAGTCATTGTAATGTTATACGTTTATGAGATAGTTAATTAAATAAAGACATAACTACTATAATAATAGTGCTATTAGTATTTTGAAAATGGCCTTTAAATATAAAGGCCATTTTCAAAATACATCTTCAAAAGCCATTGCGGCTTGGCACACCAAAACTACAATTTTTCATATTTTTGTGTGAAAAGCTTAACCTTGAACTTGTAAGTAGTATCAACTATCAACTTAACACGACAGTTTACAGCAAAATAGAGTGGGCCTAAAGGAAACACAATTTTAAAACAACTTTAAAATAAGATTGTATATTAAGCTTTAAATTAGGTCATGAATAACATAACAAATACTTCACTACTGTTTAATATACAAGCATAACTAGCGTAATTGCCAAAACTGTTGAAAAGGTACGCGACATATGCTGCAACCTGGGAAGCAAGCCTAGAACTACTACAGTTCTATTAGTTTATACAGCTTATAAAGTATCAACCTTTCCACCGTTCCTACTAAATTAATCAACAGTAGAATTATTGGAACTAAATTAATAAATTCTTAAATTGGGGAAACTTTAAACAATGAGTTTAATCATTTACGATAAATATAGTTACAAACCATAAAGGTAAAACACAATTATATATTGAGATGTAACATCTTACTTCTGAATTGATCGACAACGAATATTAAAATGTCATATTATAGTCTTTTTGAATTTTAAATGCATATTTTAGTTTTTTTTATTAATTTTATTACAATATTCCCACCACAGCAAGCCAGCATTCCAAGCGAATTTCCACTCGCCTGATTGGATTTCCACTACAATAAATTAGGAATGTCAGATTTAAACTATTCGAACAACATTATGTTAAACAAAATCTTAGGTTACCCATTCAAGGAAAGATAATAAATAGCATTTTTGTGAAATATATAAATAACTTAGAATGAAATAAGTAGCTTTGCCGAATTTTGTCAAAATACATACATTTAATAAGCCAACTACGGTTCAACAGTTTACTTATTGCCCACGCGAGTCATGGACATTCTAAATTTATAGTTTTGGGAATTTTATCCACAACCATTAGGCGTACAACCAAGCTCTAATATATAAAATTATTAACTTTTTTATGCTCCGGACAATTATATTAGAAGAAATTTCAAAAACCTTTACTTTTCGGCACACTACACCGTTTAAATGTGCTTTCCCCAAGGATTTAGTCCGGAAAACAGCTGTTTTCCGCATTCTTAATCAAGTTGGATTTCATTACACACTACTGTACTGAAATAATAATCTTTTTTATTGTTGGAAAACAATTAGCATTGACAAAGTTGAATCAAATACAGCCAGAGACTGACAGTCAAAGTGAAATATTGGCAATAAAGCTGATGAAATATGGAATTACACAGAATAATGGACTTTACTAATATAAGTCATATCAAAAGATTCTTTAAGAAAATTAAAGGGATTGCCCAAAAGCCATTATTTGTAGAATGTGGTTTTAAAAGTATTTTCAGGATATTTTAGTATTAAATGTATAGCTTAGCTTGTTGTATATTTTAAATTAAATTACAATATGGCTTTTAAGAGTTTTAGAACATCTAAAAAAAATGTAAACTTTTGTATTTCTAGTATTATGAGGATGAGAACTTTGTTTGATTAAGTTGGGATTTTTTAGAATATTCAGGGTGTTTTTTTTTTAAACTTGCATCTTTATGTAAAAACCGCAATAGATAGAAATATGCAGTTTACGGGAATCATCTATTGACGTAGGGGGCCCAATTGTTTTGAGTTCAACGTTACATTTACATTCCCCCCTTGCCTTCAACTTAATTTTTTTTAATAGCAAGGTACCCCTTGTGACATATCAAATGAAAGAGCATGAAAAAAGAAAATGTTTGATGAAAAAAAATTGAAAATCGGTTCATAAATTTGTGAGATATTCCCCCCTCCACCCCCCAGAACTTAATTTTTTTTAATAACAAGGTACCCCTTGTGACATATCAAATGAAAGAGCATGAAAAAAGAAAATGTTTGGTGAAAAAAAATTAAAATCGGCTCATGAATTTGTGAGATAATCTCCCCCTTTTCCCCTACCCATAACTTTTTTTAATAGCAAGGTACCCCCCCCCCCCTTGTGACATATCAAATGAAAAATTAATTTCACCAAACATTTTCTTTTTTCATGCTCTTTCATTTGATATGTCACAAGGGGTACCTTGCTTTAAAAAAAATAAGTTCCGGGGAGAGGGGGGGGGAAATATCTCACAAATTTATGAACCAATTTTCATTTTTTTTCATCAAACATTTTCTTTTTTCATGCTATTTCATTTGATATGTCACCAGGGGTACCTTGCTATTAAAAAAAATTAAGTTGGTGGCAAGGGGGGAAAGGGGGGGAATGTAAATGTAACGTTGAATTCAAAACAATTGGGCCCCCTACGTCAATAGATGATTCCCGCAAACTGCATACTTCTATCTATTGCGGTTTTTACATAAATAAAGATGCAAGTTTTTAAAAAAACACCCTGTATAATACCATACAGAGTCAAAAACATAAATGTTAATTACCGTTGGAATTTGTAGCTGAATGAACAGGGGCTTACAGTGTTCTGATAGGGGGCACAAGACATTATCCTAACTAACTTCTTTTGTAAGATTAAAATTGTCTCTATCCTACTGCAATTGCCGTAAAATATAATATTGTATCTACAAATAGATTTAAAAAGCAAAATAGGCTGTTTTAATTTAATTTTGATCTATACAATGTGTTAGTTTAGTTATAAGACAAATTACCCTAAAAAGCTTAGGACTTGTGTAGTCGATATGAGGTCCCCAAAAGGGGGTCTTATCCCGATACAGATTAAATAAAGAAATTTAACATTGTCTACATAACAATGTAACATATTTAATTCGCACGGCTAAAAACAATTTTTGAGTGTTATCTTTGTTTAACAGAAAGCCATTAGATTAAAACCCAAAACAGTGGAGGCTTTATTAATTGAGTTTTGAGCTATCTCTCAAAGTTGTTTAAGATCAGGACTAATATTTATTAATTAATGCTGTATCATATGCATATAAGAAAGTTTTGCTATTTATACATTCTGGGAGGTCGTTTATAAATATAAAAAAAATATAGCACCTAGAAGAGACCCCTAAGGCACGCCATTTTTTTCCTGGGACCATTCTCCATCAATACATACTTTTTGTGTTTTATTGTTAGGTATGATTGAAAAAAGTAGAGTCCCGTCACGAAAAATCCGTAATTAGTTCTTACCGGACACCAGTAGATTATAATAATTGGCAATTATTGGTTATAAACAAAATCATTACTTCTCTTTGAAGTGATAAGTCGTGATGGTTTAGTTCTGTGGTTTGTTGGGAAAATAAAAATACAATAGATTTGTGCAGTTTATGGTTTGGTCAGTTTAAAGTACTAAAGTAGTATGGCGAAAAATATCGTAGTCCCTTGTTCATCATGTGTTTTTCGGAATAGTCACGTAATATTCCAGTACTTTGGTTACTTTACCATAGTTGCAAAATTTGAATTTACACTTTTTCATTAAAAGATTCCCTTTCCCTCCGTTAAAGTAGGGCTGTAAAAAGACAATATTTTCACAGGAGCACTAACTTTGACTAAATTATACTAAATCATTTTTAATATAATACAAGCAACAAACTCCAATCATAGATAAGGAATTCCTCCATGTAGATTTATCATGTGTAGAGACGAGCAATTTTAAGCTTGGGTTATGGTTATGCACAATGG